GGATTTGCAAGAGGACTTGATCCTGAGCGAATAATCGGAGCCACAGACAGCAGTGGAGAACTTATGTTTCTTATGAAATGGTAAGTAGTGGAATGGAAATGTCAGTAGTTAGTTTGAAATCAACCTTAGGGCCATCTTGATAGAAAATTGTACTTTCTGATATTTTTAAACAGACCTATTTGATATTTGGCCTATCTTCACTTGGCAGCTGTCACTATGAAGCTTACTACAGTTTGAATATCCTTTATTTGAAATGTTTGGGACCAGAAGTTGGGATTTTGTTGGATTTTGGAGTACTGGTAGCGTAGAATGTACCTGTGCTGTATTTGCAAGGCTGGAGAGAGAGATGAGGGTCTGAAATGGCAGGAATCCAAGCATAGTGCTTGGCACAAATCCACATCTCCTGCCATTTTACAGATTCTTGTTTTGTGAAACTTGAAGTGAACACAGGCAGTGGCAACAACAGCCAGCAGGCCAGCACCAAGAGCAAAAGAGACGGGGAGGAAGACAACTGAGGGCCTTGTTTCAAGCTTGTCAGTAACTTTCTTCGTGGCAGGAACAGTGGGAAATGGCTACACCATCATGTCTGTTGCTGGTGCTCTGGGATGGAGGCATGCTGAGGTGAGGAATGGGAGTTGAATGCGAGTGGCAGGGTGTGGGGAAGAGGGAAAAAGCATCTCTCTCTAGCCTCGCAGATAAAGGTATGTACTACGCTATTTGGGTATTCCAAAATCCCAAACTTTCCAGCTCTTAAGCCTCAAAGCATCAAGTCAGCACTGAACAAGTTTTGCGTTTTGGAGGTTTGTGGATTTCCAGATTAGGGATGCTCAACCTGTAATATGCAGGGTATAACATACAGGTTCAGACAGGTACATTTTCAAATGTGAAATAACCTTATCTGTATTTGTTTACACCATCTATTAAACTTAAACAACTATTGTTAGTAGTATTTAGTATCAAGGTACCTATACAAATGATTATTCAAACTGTTTAGAAATCAGTTTAATGTTTTAACTTTTGTGTAGAGCTTATTTACTACTAAATTTGAGAGACCAGTTTTATGCATGTCTATTTAAAACTGGCCCATAGAAAGCATCATAGTGATACTTCTAATAGGACTACTGCATTCACAGCTATAATAAAATAATCTCCCTTCTCAATTGCTGTCAGCTACTTTACTAGTATATATTACACCCAGTGGACAGCTACTTATCCATTATTACTAGTGGAAATGGTAACCAGAATCTCATTCTTGCAGTAAGATCCTTACACTTTGAAATAATATTTCAAAGAAACTTCTTTGACTCTCCTAATAGGTATATGGCTGAAAAACATATCCTGACATGATTGGTGATAAAGTCCCATACAGCTAGCCTGAATAAACATTTACAAGCTGCATACACCATGCTTTAGAAAGTGTTTGTAGCAATGCTTAGAAGTCTAAGCTTGGGGATTCATGATCATGTGTTTTTAAGTAATATTAATTAGAATCCTCTCTTAAAACAGGAAAGACTCTGATGAAGCAGACCTGGTGCTGGCCAAAGAAGCAAATGTGAAATGTCCTCAAATTGTAATTGCTTTTTATGAAGAACGGCTAACTTGGCACTCATGCCCAGAAGATGAAGCACAATAATTGTTGAGTCCCCTGCTCCTTTTTATATATAAATATATATGATTTTGACTTACAAGAAATGTGGAAAGCTGTTCTAATGAGACGAGTTTGCTTATTTTTGAAGTTATGTGTTTTGCCTAAACAGAAACAATAAAAGATCTGTGCTATTTGTTTTGTTTATTACAGGAGAGCATTTGATACTGCTTCCTCCATCCTAGGTAAAGTGTTTTATAAAAACTTAATAGTTAATAGTGACTCTTAATGGCAATTTATTCAAACTCAAAAGCTTTTTTTGTAACCTCTATACAACAGACATGCATGCATCTTTCTCCCTATTTAGTCTTCTTAAATCTATAAAATGATTCTTTCTAGTATTTGTGGTTTCTTGGTTCTAAGGGGACCTGGTAAAATCTTTGTAGTAAGTTGAAGGTGCAATGTATATTATTTACTTTATTGTAAATACTGGTGCGTTCTCAATAAAATAGTTTTATATTTTTGGTCCTTTTTTGCCAAGCAATGTGAAACGCCAGAGTTTTTAGACAAGAGTTATTTTTATTGCTGATAGTTCTTATATGGGTAGGGAATGTGTGTCCCACCATCTGTTGCTTTGCAACTCTAATCAGCTTAAATACTTGACATATAAATAATGGTAACTGTAGCTCTGCACCAGCTGAAAGGCCACACATTTTCATGCAGCAGAGCAGAACATATAGACAGGTTCTTCCCTTTCATTCACTTCAGTTGGAAAGCATTTTTGAGTGGAATTCACAAATAATCACAAGAATAGTGTGTACTTGTGGTCATTTGTGAATTCTACTCAAAAATGCTTTCCTACTGAAGTGAATGAAAGGGGCTGCTTGCACATTCGGCCATTGAAGCCAGTAGGGCTTGCTGCCCGTGAAAGCTCAAATCCATGGATTGCAAGCCCACGGTTGGGGCAGGCACATTACTGTGCCTCCATGTTTAATACTGGGCTGTCAATATGAGGAAGCCCCATACTGATCATTTTTTAGGATAGTTCATTAGACAGACAAGTGCCTTGTATTTGCTGTGTCAGGCTTTTAGTCTGAGGGAGCCAGAGCCAGATAAATAATTTCAGAGCTGGCAGTTTGCAAAGTGGTCACAAAATTCCTTTCAGGATCTGGGAAGTCTGAAGATGGAAAATAAAGCAAATAAAATACTTTTCAAGGGGCTGCATCAGCCTTTAACTACCACCTTATCCAACTTGCAGACTTGGAGGAAGGTGATACTGGCAGGGAAACAGTATTTATCCTGGCCTGGGGCATGGAAAAACTGAAGTGATAGTGCATTTATGCATACATTTCTAATGATACCTGACCTGAGAAGGAAGGGGCTCAGTGGTCCTATTATAGGATATCCCCACATACACCCCATGAATTTTGTGAAGAACATAAAGATTGTCCTAAGGAGGAAAGCGGGATAGTCCTCTTCAAGAAGTGACTGTCCCATCTATTAGACTGTTCTATATTATTATTATTATTGGATTCTGGATTTCTTGGGAAGACTACTTTGTAACAGTCTACATGTCTTCATTGCCTGAGAATAGGGGGCAAAGCTTACTTGTCTCGTTCCAAGGGCATTTGACTGCATCCCTGATGGAACTGAGCTGGAACATGGGTAGATGTTGCAGCCAGGTGCTAATCTGTATCTAGAGAATGAAAATGCTAGAGGCTAAGGCACCAGAGGTAAATTAAGAATGGTTAGGATTCCTTTCCCCCTTGCTAATATGAAAGTTCTTTAATGTTTTCATATTCAATATTTGCACATCATGAAATTAGATTGTGAAGGAACTAGAACAGGTGTCTGGCATCCTTGAGGTAGGATCCAGGAAGATGTGAAAAGCCTCATTCTCTCAACCACTGCATCAAGTAAAGGCAAGACACCAGATCCTATAGAAGAAAGGCACACATTGCAAGTCCTTTTCAGAACACCATATGAGCACACAGCACATCTCCACATTTGGGATGTTAATGTTAAAACAATATTTTGGTTTTTACTAAAAAAAAAAAAATGAAAAAATAAACTCATGCAATACTGATATTTCTCTGCTCTGCTTGTGCTTAAGGAGAACCTGAACATAAAAGCAATGCTGGGTGAAACTGGAAGCCATATAACAATATTCTGTTCATATAATGGACCGTCAGTTGCCTATGGAAAGCCCACACAGATGAAATGGCACCCTCCATCTAATTTCCCAGCAACTCATAGATGCATGCTACTTCTGGTACTGGAGACTACATACATGCAAAATAGTTCCTAAAATCATCCAGCCCTCTTAAAAGCCAAAGCCATTAAAGTTAGCAACTATTACTGCTATTTGCAGTTGGACACGGTTTAACTATGAATAATTTTTTGATTTGTCTTTTAACGCCCACATGTGGTGTCTGGTTTGGTAAGTTAGCTGAAGCTTCTGTCCATATTCAACATAAGTCTTCTACATCTTTTTGCCTGCATTATGCAGTACATATGATTATCAGGAGAACAACTGCCAGTTCCTTCCATGGGCTACACCTATTTGTCATCCAAAAATTAAATAGTTAATTGTGTCTGGCATGTGATTTCCCCCTCTCCCTCTTTCCTGGGTATATCAATGGTTTGCCTCCAACATCACATATAACTAAGCTATATTAATGTTTCTCCATATTTTTGCCTTGGAGGCTGATGGCCTGCAAAATACTGCAAACTTGGATACTGTAGTAAGAAACCTTTTAATGACTTAGAGCCATTTTCAAAAGGCTAGCCTGGCATATGTAAATTGGTTCAATTATAACATTAAAAAATCATGGTAGCTTTAACAGATTTAATTTCTCATTTTATTTGCTTTACAGAATACTGATGTGATTTGTCAGCTTAAACCATATTGTCAGTCCTATCTATAGCAGACCTATTAAATCATATTTTCACGCCTTAATCTACTAATCCACCATTAACAATTAATTAAATGGGTCTAATATAATTAGTGCCACCAACAGGTAACCAAAGTGATGTAGTGGTTTAGATGTGGGATGAGGACTCCAGAGGACCAGGGTTCAAATTCCCACTCTGCCATGGACACCCACTGGATAACCTTGGGCCACTCACACAGCCTTGTTCTATGCCTTCAAGACTTGTTGCAACCCTATCCTCAGTCTTAAAAAGTGAGGACAAAGAAGAAAAATGTAGGACATTGCAATTTAATGGTTAAAAACATTCCAATGAATATAAATACATATTTCATCTTGTTGGTGTGTGCCTTCAAGTCAATTCTCACTTAGGGTGACCCTAAGGCATGTTTTTTTCCTGGCAACATTTGTTCAGAGGGGGTTTGCCTTTGCCATCCTCAGGCTGAGAGAGTGTGACTTGTCCAATGTCACCCAGTGGGTTTCCATGGCTGAGTTGGGATTCCAACCCCTGGTCTCCAGAGTCCTAGTCCAACACTCAGACCACTAAGTCACGCTGGCTCTTTGTCTTCCTCAAAGTGGAGGACATTTTGGAAATCCTCCTGGACAGGAGGCTGAAGTGTAGGACAGGTCCTAGAAAAGGAGAACTAAGTGGTCACCTGGGTCAAGAGACCTCAGGGTCCCAGCCTGTCTTGGCTGAATGGAGCAGAGGCAGAGCATCTCATTTCTTCCCTCCTATTGCATTAGCCACTGCCTCCTGCAGTAGCTGAAAAAGGAGGATGCTTTCAGCTTACAATGGCAGGAAGTAAAGTCCCTCCCTTATTACATTCCCCGTATATCCGGAAGTTTCCTGCTGGTCATTCTCCACCACGTTTGCTTTTTAAAGCACTCCATCCAAGATTTTTTTTTAGGTCACATTCAGCCTATTTCTGTCCACTTTTAATCCCCAGTAAAACCCACAGAGATCTATGAAGCTTAATTCCACACACACTTAGACATTCAACATGCACAGGGATGAGAGCATGGATTTGTTCTGGTTCCCCCACACTTATGAGAGCTTCACCTATGGAACTGTTACGTTTGTTGCTGTGTGCCTTCAAGTCGTTTCCGACTTATGGGGACCCTAAGGAGTTAAACCTATCATGGGGTTTTCTTGGCAAGATTTGTTCAGAGGAGATTTGTCATTGCCATCCTCTGAGGTTGAGAGTGTGTGATTTACCCAAAGTTACCCAGTGGGTTTCATGGCTGAGCAGGGAACCGAACCCTGGTCTCCAGAGCTGTAATCAAATGATTAAACCACTACACTATATTGCATACTTTGTTGTTGTTAGATTTTTATGGGTTTTTCAGGATATATAGGCGTAATCTGGAAGAGTTTATTCCTGACGTTTCGCCAGCCACAGCTGCTGCAGAAACGTCAGGAATAAACTCTTCCAGAACATGGCCACATAGCCCAAAAAACCTACAAAAAGCTATAGATGCCAGCTATGAAAGCCTTCAACTCCACTTTGTTGTTGTTGTGTTCCTTCAAGTAATTTCTGACTTATAGTGACCCTAAGGCAAACCTATCATGGGGTTTTCTTGGTAACATTTGTTCAGAGGAGGTTTGCCATTGCTCTCCCCTTAGGCTGAGAGTGTGTGACTTAGCCAAGGTCACCCAGTGGGTTTCATGGCTGAGCGGGGAATCAAACCCTGGTCTCCAGAGTCATAGCCCAGTGCTCAAACCATTACACCACCACTCTGGCTCTCCATAATATAACATAACAGTTATGTAGGACCAAGCAAAGTCAGAAAAGGGTTACAAGGGCCACAAAGTTGATCTAAACACACATTTGACTCAGAATGACAGCTTTTATTTTGTTTTCCTGCTGAAAATGATGGTGATAAATTAGGGATGCTCATCTCTGAAATAAAGAAAGTATAAAATGGGATGTACATAGTATTAGAAGAGTGCTTAGTTTGAAATTTGAGTTATAGCTGAATTGTTCTTTCTTTGTTATTGTTGTTGTGTGCCTGCAAGTCATTTCTGACTTATGGCAACCCTATCATGGGGTTTTCTTAGCAGGTTTCTTCAGGTGTGTGTGCCATTGCCATCCTCTGAGGCTGAGAGAGTGTGACTTGCCCAAGGTCACCCAGTGGGTTTAAATGGCCAAGCTGGGATTTGAACCCTGGTCTCCAGAGTCATAGTCCAACAATCAAAACCCCTATACCATGCTGGCTCACCATGCTAATTCCTTGTACTTCTTTTTTTAAAAAATGTTCATGTGGCTTAAGAGTTCAAAGCCATGGCTATGTTAGTCTGGAAAATCAGTATGCAAAGGGATCTAGTAGCACCTTTGAGACTAACTGGGAGAAAGAAAGAAAAGCTGATAGCATGAGCTTTTGTAGATTATGTCTTCAGATGCATGAGGACAATCAGTCTCACATGTGGCTTAAGAGTACCAAAAGCCAAATACAGTATTTCACCTTGGACACAGAACAGGAAGAGTAAAAATAGGAGGAAGGAATATAAACAATCTAAAATGTAGAGATGATACCATAATACTGGCAGAAAACCTTGCAGACCTGGAACAACTACTAAGGAAGATCAAAGAAGAAAGTGCAAAGGCAGGCTTAATGTTGAACATAAAGAAAACAAAAATAATGACCACTGAGGACCTTCACAAGTTCATCCTAGACAATTAAGAAATAGAAATAGTAAAAGAATTTCCATAACTGGGATCAAATATTGATAAAAATGGGGACTGCAGTCAGGAAATCAAAAGAAGACTAAAAATGGGGAGAGTGGCTATGAAAGAACTAGAAAAAATTCTAAAATGCAA